GTGACAGCTGTCAGTGAGTGACTTTAAAACCGGAAGAAGCTTAAAACGAGAAGATTGTCAGGCAGGTTCTGACTGTGTGAGGTTTGTTTATAACGGACACGATGGCGGTGATTCACCGAGCAGTCTGTGAGCAGGTCAGGTTTATGAGAGCCGTGTGTTTGTCAGAGGAGAGAAAGAGCAGAGTTGTGTTTTTATAGAAAACACATTAGCTTGTGGAAACACATGTAGTCAGCAGCAGCATGTGCGGACTGAATCTGCATCACTCCGGATCAATAAACAGGGTTTTAGTTTCGGCTCACCGGACGTTGTGTTTTGTAACTCTGCTCTTTCTCAAACACATTAGCTTGACAACCCGCCATCATGACCCCATCAGGAATTACGTCTGACTGCCCACGTGGCTCGTTTGTCCAATCAGGTGTCTGTGCGTGTTTTGTAGTTTACTCTGGATTTGTAGTTTACATATTTAAATAAATTAAATTAGTTGGTTATTAAACCCGAACTTATCTTATTTTTCTTTATTTGGAGCAGTTAAATAATTAGTTTCAAATCAGTTTCAAATTATCAAAAGATCAGCATGAATCAGTGAAAACACAAAGCAGTCACTCTGTATGATAGTAATGAAATAAAAGATGTCAAATTAAATCAAGTTGTTTATGTAAAACTTAAAAATGTTAGAATTTCAGTGCCACAGACAGAACATACGAGGCTCAGTCAGTCTGTAACAGAACAACAAACAGCCATCACTGACAACAACTGCACACTGGTTATGGCTGAAATTTTGTAGTGTATATTAAGAGACACTAAAGTAACAGCACAGAGACTGATGGGGCTGTTACTGATTTTCAGGTCTTCAGTCTATAGTGGTGGGAGTTCAGGAGGCTTAATTTTCCATCTGTTTCCAGGTGAGGTTCTGGTGATCGGTTCAAATCTTCCAATCATCGCCGCGCCAGGTGATGATGTCATCCTGCCGTGTCACCTGGAGCCCATGTTCGATGTCCAGGGTCTGACGGTGGAGTGGTCCAAACCCGACCTGAAGCCCGACCCGTCGGACCGGCTGAGCCGAGTGGAGTACGTTCACCTGTACAGGGACAGGAAGGAGGTCCCCGACA